CATCAACCTAGCTGTAACGGTACTCAAGTAATCGTGTTTACACACGGACAGACAGACAGACAGACAGACAGACACACAGACATACGGACAAGATTGCAAAATTATGTTTTTCCGGATCAGTGAGGTGTAAAACGTCGAGATTTGTAAAAATCTCGATTTTTTTTTTGCACGATTACAAGACTTTCTCTATACTTCGTATATACGAGAAAGTAAAAACCCAGCACGAATCATTAAAGCTTCATTCGGCTCCGTTCTTATACCATACATTAGCAGTAATATATATATATATATATATATATATATATATATATATATATATATATATATATATATATATATATATATATATATATATATATATGAGCCATGTTTGTTTATGTGTTCATATTTGACAGGTTCCACCTCGCCTTCAATGAAAGGCCAGAGCATGAAACCTGTCTATTCAGCTTCAGCACAAACTCTCCCCAGTAAACAATGTCCCGGTGAACATCCATCGTGTTATTGGCTTTATTTATGCGCTGTCAGGAGGCGGCCACATGACCTAATGGATGTATTTGTTGATATTTTACATAGATAATTGATCCCGTTTGTCTTACCGCTCGCTACCCACGTGTAATGGATGCGGCGTGTCCTATGCTGGGGGGTGTCCACCAGATGAGGAAGACATGCTCATGTGTGTGGGGAAATATGCAGTGGGAACAAGTATTTGCCAGCACATATTCACATGTAGAATCTGCATCTTCACGCCCAATAATTATATATATATATATATATATATATATATATATATATATATATATATATATATATATATATATATATATATATATTATATATATATAATATATATACGCATATGTATATATTATACGCATACATACAAATATACATACATGTATATGTATATGTTTTTATAACTTTTTATAAAGACTCATACAATATACATATGAAGTGGTTTAAGAACGTGTAAAGTATAGATAGTGTGCGATACACTAGCTACAGTACTAGACGGGGTGCCGACCACTTCACTGGTTCCGTGTGGACACCTGCAATGTAATTTAAAGACGGGCGGGCATGCGATCCACAATACACCCAATTAGGCGCCCTACTCGGGATGCTTTAGCCGCATGGATGAACCTCTGAGGAGTCCGCCCCCCTCCAGGCAAAAAAAAAACTTGTCTCCGGCTTGAAAGACGTGTCTGCATGAGCAGGCCATTTCAATCCGAGTTTGTGTCGCTAGATTGTCGAGACTTACCAGCGGTTGTCGGGGTCCTCTTGTCGGGGGTCCTTTTGTCGGGATCCGCTAGTCAGGGTCCACTCATGATGCCGCCCTTCATCTACCACCGTACCACAAAAACAAGGTTTACTTGAGATCCTCAAAGTTGGCCCCGAGGGGTTTCGTTCCTCAAGTCTGGGCTAATCACAGGTTCAACAACACCGTTCTTTAGACTGGAGAGTACGGTAACACCCACAGGCTATATGCCGTGTTTGTACAGCTTATGTACGCCGATATGTCTCAACTCTGTCCTACAGTTAGTGTAGGCCGATGTGTCTCAACAATGTCCTTAAGTTAGTATAGGCGGATATGTCTTAACTCTGTCCTTTAGTAAGTATAGGCCGATATGTTTCAACTCTGTACTACAGTTATAGTAGGTCGATATGTCTTAACTCCGTCCCTGATAGTATATGCCAAGAAGTCTTAACTCTACAGTCAGTATAAGCCAATATCTCTTAACTAAAACAATATCCTACTGTTAGTCTAGACCGAGTTGTCTTAACTCTATCAATGTCCTATAGTTAGTATAGGCCGATGTGTCCTACCATATGTTCTCCAGTAAACCGGTATGTTATCCCTTTTTTCAAAGATGTTTTCTCTTTATACTGGTATCGGCAGTATGGTCAAGTCTGATGAAAGAGCAAGCAAGTCTTTATAAACTTCCATCCTAAAATACAGTCTTCCATGTCCTACCCCTAAACATAGCGGGTCGTAACACGCAGAACCGTATATACTACTTAGTATACGCAAGTATGCCTTACCCGTAACATGATTAGGTCTTGCCATATAGTCATAAATGTCCCCCTAACAAGATTACGTCTTGCCATATAGTCCTACATGTCCTCCCCCTAGCAAGATTAGGTCTTGCCTACATCACCCCCAAACAACAATACGTCATGTATATAGTCCTACATGTCCTCCCCCTAACACCACTACGTCTCTCCATACAGTCTAATATAACATCCCCCGTACACCCTCCAACATCTCACGCAACAGGCCACGACTGTATCATCTTTATAAAACAGTACCGGACTTTGACAGCAGTACGTACGGCTAATCTGGGCGCCGTTTACAACCGCATCTTCCACTTGGGAACCTGTATTATATAGGTGTTATTAAGTAAACTGAGCGCCGCTCACAAAAACGCACCTTCCCACTTATGGGCCTGTATTACATAGATGTTAAGGGTGGCAAGAATAGTGCCGTGTATAATAACACTACTCCCCTGAACACCCACTCCTCTATAGCCGGAGGTGTAAGCCACTTGTAATTATTATCATACAGTTGTGTTACATTCAAAGATGCAGCGACGATATTGTAATTACTCAGTCAGTTGTGTGTGTCGATGGTTGGAACAGTTTAGGATGAGGGGGGGGGGGGGTGTAGGTAGGTTCCTCTACACATCACTGGTTCCTCCGAAACAACGGGAACTGGTTAGATAAAAAAAACGGTTAGCCGCTCGCCTCACTCAAAGAACACCGTTGTGTCGCACGAGATTTGCATTGTCGTCGAGATGAAATAAAACTTCCCTCCTCCTCCCCCCCCCCCCTTCTCTGCCGATATCGACGAGTTTTGGAGTGATCTGTTGAGCGGGGGATTGTGGGAAATGGCCGCTACACCAAGTGCACTCTACACGTCGTGCCCAGGAAATTATACCATTCAGCAACAAAGTCCGGCTAACGATTCCGTGTCAAAATATGCCCCTCGGGCATATCATTTTGTGCAATTATGGCACCGCGGGGACAATTGAAACTGTACCGGGGAGGGAGGGGAGGAGGGGAGGGGGGTTTAGAGGTTTGTCGGTGGAAACTTTTGAATGAGAATGTCAAGAAAATGAAAATATTAAAGCGAACAAAAAGGGAACGCCGCGATGGCTGGTGGGACAGATATGGAACGTGGGATTACCACAGGATCTCAAAACGTGTGCAGAATGGGAGAAATTGACCCGCGGGGGATGGGAGAGTGAGGAGGTGTGGGGGGGGGGGGGCATTGAATTGCACGTGAGGGCCATTTTTTGTTGTGTTTCTGTGAGAAGAATAAACGAAACAAAACACGGGCCGGTTGTCGGTTTATGAACGGGATTACAAAAGGTGCGAGAGCCGCCGGTCATTTTAGCCCCCCCCCCTCCCCGCGGGTCCGTCATGTAGAGGCCGGCGACACACGTGTAACATGGGGCCCGGACACCAGTCATGCGTGCAAGAGTTCTTCTAGACTGGAACCAACACGTCATATACCTGTCGTTCGATTATCGGGTGGCTCACAGATGGGAATCAGGTGTCGTGCAATTCGATCAACACGTAATTAACGACTACAATTTAGGGATTCGATCCACAAGACAAGCAAGTAGCGAGGCTATGATGGACCGTCCATGTGTAAAACCGAAAAGAAATGTAGATCTAAATATATATTATTTGGTGAGAAGATGCAATACAGAGAAGAAGACAGAATCCCGAAAAATTGCTTAACACCTATAGGTGCTCAAGGAGTCAATAACCCAGTAATTTTTTTTTAAAAGTGTTCTAAAAATGTTTTTGCTAGAATATTAAAAAAAACAACAACCGGATAACATAGTTAATAAAATACGTTAAATTTAGGCTATTATTTCACACAATTAAAAAAAAATATATTTAAAAAAACACATAACAATTAAATGAAAGAACCAGTATATCGAATATTACAATTTTTCTCCGGTTGTTGCCCTTTGGCCTAAAAATAAAAAGATGTACCCAAGCAGTATTACAGTTGAAACGTATATTTTTAAAGTATATTTATTTAAGCGGGTGCCTATTTAAAGTGATGTTTTGATGTGTGGCTTGTGTGTGGTTGAATGGTCTGTATTACTCAGCTAGATAGAATCACAGATGTGCTACAGACGACCACTTACCTAAATAAGTACAGATAAAAGCTAGACAGAATCACAGATGTACTAGGGACGACCACTTACCTAAATAAGTACAGATAAAAGCTAGACAGAATCACAGATGTTCTAAGGACGACCACTTACCTAAATAAGTACAGATAAAAGCTAGACAGAATCACAGATGTTCTAAGGACGACCACTTACCTAAATAAGTACAGATAAAAGCTAGACAGAATCACAGATGTGCTATGGACGACCACTTACCTAAATAAGTACAGATAAAAGCTAGACAGAATCACAGATGTGCTAGGGACGACCACTTACCTAAATAAGTACAGATAAAAGCTAGACAGAATCACAGATGTGCTATGGACGACCACTTACCTAAATAAGTACAGATAAAAGCTAGACAGAATCACAGATGTGCTAGGGACGACCACTTACCTAAATAAATACAGATAAAAGCTAGACAGAATCACAGATGTGCTATGGACGACCACTTACCTAAATAAGTACAGATAAAAGATAGACAGAATCACAGATGTGCTATGGACGACCACTTACCTAAATAAGTACAGATAAAAGCTAGACAGAATCACAGATGTGCTATGGACGACCACTTACCTAAATAAGTACAGATAAAAGCTAGACAGAATCACAGATGTGCTATGGACGACCACTTACCTAAATAAGTACAGATAAAAGCTAGACAGAATCACAGATGTGCTATGGACGACCACTTACCTAAATAAATACAGATAAAAGCTAGACAGAATCACAGATGTGCTATGGACGACCACTTACCTAAATAAGTACAGATAAAAGCTAGACAGAATCACAGATGTACTAGGGACGACCACTTACCTAAATAAGTACAGATAAACAGCTGAGACAGCACTGAACAGATACACCTGAAAGTAAGCAAACACAGACGTTAGTATAACACCTGTTAAATGGTATATATATAGCATGTTCATTTCTTTAAACACAACTCATCATAACTTGTAGGAGATGCAAACAATGTGATGGCCTAAGTCATCATCTTTTCCCGTTCGTGCCCAAGACATATGGGGCAGATGAAGTAGAGTTCGTCTGTCTCCATTACCAGGGGGTAATGTGGTCAGCCGCCTTTGTTTCCATAACATGTGTCAGGTACCCATCAGAGCAGGGTGAACTCAGGGACACCCCAATGACTCGAGACTCTCGGGTTTGCAGTCATAAGTTCGACCATTCAACCACGCCGTACAAGAGAGCATTAGTAAGGGGATGTTACAGAGTTATTAAACAAGTTGGTGGTCTTGGGTTAGGGATGTAGATTTGTCAAGAATTTGATGGCCTTAGATGGTCGATGTAGCAGATAATATACAACAATTTAATGGCCTTAGATGGTCGATGTAGCAGATAATATACAACAATTTAATGGCCTTAGACGATCGATGTAGCAGATAATATACAACAATTTAATGGCCTTAGACGATCGATGTAGCAGATGAGATACAACAATTATGATATGGGCTGAGTAAGAGATGTGGATGTGCCAAAGAATTTGAAGCAGGCGGGGATGAGGTGTAGAAGAAACCAACCCGACCAGTCTGGGGGTCTGGTGGCTGGTGTTAGCTTTCGTTACCTGAGACACCACAGTCACACCTGTCATTTCCTTGGACCCCGTGGAGGGACCAGACACACATTCAGTGGCGGCTCTACGGTTACATGGGGGTGGGGGGGGGGAGGGGGAACTTGAGACGTTTTATATGGAGCAATTCGGCAAGTCAATATATGATGCAATTAGACACGTTTTATATGGAGCAATTTGACTAGTTCAAACAGACAAATCTTAATATGGAACAAAAATTGACAAGTCGATGTAATTAGAATTACCAGGCGTGTCGATGCACATGACATTTTGACTATTGAACTGTTTGACAAGTCAAAGAACAAACTCGACAAACTGCGTAGTGATTGTGATCATTACTCGGTATCATTCGGTATAATTACATTAAAAATTGCCATCTACTGGTAACAAACTATTTTTAGCTCAGGCTATCTAAAACGGATCCTTTCTACATCTAAAATAGGTAAGAATGTGATGCTGGGGTAGGGGTTGGGGGGGGGGGGGGTGGAGGGACAACACCAACACCCTTACATAGACCGGACACTCGATACAATCCGTGTCACCAGTAATGTATGTGTTCATCAAGGTTTTATGTGTCCGTGTATCAAGCTCTGAAACTTGAACCCCAAACACAAACTAGCTCTACCAGGGACCGTACACCACAGCATCGTATGTTTACAGACGGTAGTTGTTACCGGAGCAGTGGTACTAGGTGTAAACGGGTGTCTATTTCAGCGGCGGTACACGACACGTCTACAGACCTAGTTGTTTCTGTGTCAGGAATTATAACCGTAGACAACATACCAGTCACATATCACATCCTATGTCAATGTCTATAATAATGCGGAATATTAGTACTTTATAAATTCATATGCGTTTTTTGTTAAATCGGAAATAGCGTAAAGTACTATTTCCGGTCAACGGAAATTATTCCAAATTCGACAGAAGGCAGAGAAATAGATCTTTTACTTATATGTGGAATTCGGATTATTTATCTGAAACACTACTAAAGTTTTTGGTAGAATAAGTTCCACTTCCGGTTACCGGAAATCTCTGGAATTTCATCAACATAGCTGTAGCGGTACTCAAGATATCGTGTTCACATAGCATACACACATACACGCACACAAATACATACTCACACAGAGACGTGCGGACAAAATTGCAAAACTGTTTTTCCGACTCTGGTAGGTGTAAAATGTCGAGATTTTCAAAATCTCGATTTTGATCTTTTGCACGATTACAATACTTCCTCTATACTTCGTATACGAGAAAGTAAAAATGTAAGCATTCATATTTGTACAGCAGATTTAGTCGAGATGAGTAACAATCTGGAAGAAACTGCAAATAATTAAGCTTTTTTAGTAGGTTAGGTTTATCTTAGGGTTGGAGCGAAGATGGAGTAAGCTTCTGTTCGTATTATCGTTAATTTTCTAATTTTAAATTTCATTTTTAGTCATTTCAGTATACCTAGTTCATCAGCAAAACGCAAAGAGTACTAGATTCTAGATCTATGTTGTTTTAAAGATCCTTGCTATTTCGACGACTTTAAAAAATGTAAGCTTTGATCGACGTCTATCTGGAAACAATGACTGTCCACCATACCGATGTAGATAGATGCAAGGGGTGGTTCCACAGATGACCAGCCCACAGTCCAGCCGGTGCCAGCCAACGACACGGTAAGTAACAACGGCGGGCAGCAGACCAGATCAATAAAGCAACAGACAGCAAACAATCGCCCACGTCAGACACACTCCCCGGGATTGGCCACGGGCTCATCCCCCCACAGGTTCACTCTCGACGTGAGGGGCGGGGCGAATTCGTGTCCCTCGGTGCCACTGTCGTCAGGCGCCGACAAGAGATGGAACCAGCTGCTCGTCTCCAAGTGTCCGAATGACACGTGCGGCATATAGCCGCGCTTGACCAGAAGAGTTTGTGGACAATATTGGTCAAAACTCTGTGCTTTTGGAAACCACGCAAGTTTAGGTCTTTTATGTGTGAGGTGTATAGGCTTCTGAGGTTTAGTGAGCATTGCAAACATCTTTTGTAACTACACGGTTAGACATTATATATATATATATATATATATATATATATATATATATATAATTAAACGTGGCACCCCCCCCTTGAGATGGCTTTAGGCTTCTACATGTCATTTAGATCTAGCTAGAATTGATGTTTTGATGTTCAGCATAAAGATTACTTTCTTTAAACTGAATTTTTTTTAAAAAGGCAACCAATTATACAGACTATTCTCACATACTTCACAGTTAATCAGCCGTGTTCCAACAAATGGCCGTCAGGTGTGTAGTCAAACGTTGGACAGTTCTTCAGATCCAATCCACATGCCAGCGAGAATTATGAGAGAGATGAAATCTCTTATCTAACGATACGTTTCACTCTGGGCTGTGGTAATATATTCCACCCTCGTCTAGTGTCGGCATCTATTCCACAAGAGAACATGTCTATACTTAGACCTCAAATGCTGCCGATTGATAGGGACATTAGAGTCGACATAAGGGGGTGGATCGGGCAGGCCTTGAGAAGGGAAAAGGACAGCATTACGAGGCAAGTGTTAGATTGGAACCCTCAGGAGAAGAGAAGAAGTTGGGTGAGCTAAGTTATCCTGGACAGTGGAGGAAGAAGCAATGGCTGCTGGGCTTACGTGGGCTGCATGCAATAAAGAGAACTGCCTTAAACAATGAAGAGGTTTAGATGCAGCCCTGTGTTCCTCACTGGCCCCTAAGTAATAAGTAAATAGATCAGACCACACAAGGCAAGCTAAGTGATGAAGGGGGGGGGGATATTAAGTGATAAAATATCGTCTTTTAATGAGATCTCATGACCGCAGTGTCCTCACCCTACCGGTACTCCCCCCCCCCCGCCCCCCCCCCCCCCCCCCCCCCCGCGATACCGTTTACAATGGGTGCCACTCCCAGCTGACGGGTGCATCAAATCAAGGGGACATAACGTGGACAGGTGCCCCCCGTCAGACCCGTGCACACAGGCACCTTGTTAGCAGAGAGCTTGGTTTTTTCTTCTTTCTTCAACCCAGTCGTTTCCCTTGAACCGCAGCGTCAATATTTGCTTTCTTAAGTGCTCATTTACACCGACAGCCAGTCAGCAACGTTCATTGTTGTTGTTTTCTTCTACCTACCTACATCCTCAAATAATAACTTAAAAGAAAAACACATTCTTTGTCTAAACAATATTTAAAGAAGGAACCTCGACTCGAACTGTACCTCTCCATTCCCATACTACTTAAAAAGGTAGCCATACAAATACATATTTCACAGTCCGCGTGTATAAAGATTGTATACTGGTGCTATTTGGCACTCTAGTGACATACATCGAAAAATTATTCATCTTTTCTAGAGATTTAAAACTTCTCCTATACTTTAGCTACGCCACTGTACAAAGGATTTGCTTAAGAAGTGTTAGTAATATAGATACGCATGTTTGTTCTATTGAACTATTGGGATGCGTGCTAGCATGACTAAAACTATACCTCCACACTAGGATAACTTTCGATAACTGTACAAACTGCTGACAATAATTCTCTTCTAGACAAATCAAATTGTACCCCATGTGTCTGGAGTTGTGTGCCAAAGAAAAACAAAAACAAACGGTTTTTAAAAGGTAAACAGTTCACACTGGCAGGGGCGGTAATAGGTTCCATATGTGGGGACAATGGGCGGATGACAAGGGTGAGACGACCAGAAAATGCCAGAGTGGTTCCAGTGGCACGTCAATTTGTAGGTGTGTCGGTGAACTAACCGCCAGGTGTACTCAGGTGAGAGGAGTACAAACATGGCACCAGCACCTGATTGTTGGGGCTTCAGGTATGTGTCATTCTAGGGGAGGTTCTGGGGTACAATTTTTATTACAGGCTTGTGGGTGTGTGTGTGGGAGGGGGGGGGGGGGTGTAAGGGTAAAGTGTGGGGGTAAAAGTGTGAGGTTAGAAGCATGGGGTACATTAGTGAGGGTAAAAGTGTCTAGAGTTAGAAGGGGCTGAGTGAAGGTGTGAATGTATTGGTAGAAGTTTGGAGGTAGGGACAGGAGGATGAAATGCGAATATAAGTGCTTGGAAAAGAGGAGGAATGGGCGGGGGTTGGGAGGGGAAAGCAGCAGTATGTAGCTCTAAAATAAACCCGATCTTACCCTACAACCAACCCGTCCCCACCCTCCATACAACCAACCCGTCCCACCAACCCGTCCCCCACCCTACCACTAACCCGTCCCCAACCTACCACCAACCCGTGTCCCCCGTACCATCAACCCCCCCCCCACCAACCC